GATGGTTATCTCAACTGGCACAATCTCTCCATCTTTCATGCACTTTTCAATGAGTTCACCTTATTGTGAATCCGGGTTCTTTCTTTCATCACGAAGAAGCTCTCCTGCAGAAAGGTGTGTGTAGCCGTATTTCTCTGCGCGCGGGGCCCAATGGTTGGCCCTCTGGAACCCTCTCCCAGCCCACTCTTGAGACGCATACGGTCCCCAAAATATAAGGAAAGTGGGGTGCAGAAACAAAGAAGCCCCGAGCAGCGCCCCTCAGCGGGGCGGGATGCCGAAGACCCCCCCCCCCCGCCCCGTGAATCCTTTGTTTAGGGCTCAGACACAGGTATATGTCTGGGCCTGCTGGCCTAAAATTAAAATCTGAGTTCTCCACTCCTCCGAGTGTCGCTTGGTTTCTCCTCTGACTATATTGCCACAACAACATAATTTTTTATATTTATGAGGCAAAAATCTCAATTATGTTAAAAATCTCAGATACTAGCCAGGTGTTAGTGGCTCACGCCTATGATCCTAGCTGCTCAGGATGTAGAGATCAGGAGGATCATGGTTGAAGCCAGCCCTGGGCAAATAACTTTGCAAGACCCTATCTTGAAAAACACCATCACAAAAAAGGGCTGGTGGACTGGTTCAAGATCAAATCCTAGTTCTGCAAAAACAAACAAACAAAACCAAAAAAACCCCAAAACCCTCAGATATTATATGGCTAAGAAAAAAACTAATTTTAAGTGCCTTCCCTAAGAATGATATGATGCCATAAGACAGTTTGTTAGCTGGGCACCGGTGGCTCATGCCTGTAATCCCAATTACTCAGGAGGCAGTGGTCAGGAGGACTGCGGTTCAAAGCCAGCCTGGGAAAACAGTTCGCAAGACCCTATCTCAAAAAACCCTTTGCAAAAAAAAGGGCTGGCAGAAAGGATCAAGGTGCAAGCCCTGAGTTCAAACCCTAGTACCATACACACAAAAATAAGCCAGTTTCTTGTGCATCTGTGGGATGCAGTGCGTTGTGGGATTTGAAGGTGGAGGATAACTCATGGGAGAGGCAATAATATCATTATTAGTTCAAGTCCTGCAATCTCAATATCAGGGGTCTACATCAGCCAAAGTTAAATGACTAAATCTTAAGCCACCCCTGAAATCTGAATATGTACTATACCCAACTTTTACTTTTACTCATGGATAAATTAGTATTGTTTTTTTGATTACACAGTTGGTTTGACTTTAATTGATGTTATAAGAAAGGGCATTCCACAGGAAGGTGAAGATGACTCATTCAATATCATATATGCAGCATTACTGAAGAGATTAATTTTACATTTTCTACCGTTAGAAAAAGATCTGAATTTTACCATTGCTCCAAATTTGAATTTAAGACAAAATCATGCCCATTAGCCTAGTGACATTCTAGAATAAGAAAGTCTTGGGCTGTGGTTGTAGATCAGTGGTGGTGTGCTTGCTGAGCATGCACGAGACCCTATGTTCTATCCCCACCACAGGCAAAAAATGTCTCGCTTAGTCTGGTACCAAATAACGTTATAGATGTGTAGACTGTAACCATTATTTCAATGATTAGTGGAACTAGCACTAAAGAAGGTGAATGGTTCATTTATGAATTTTTAGATAGTTGAATTATATTTTAAAGTGTTGAAAATTTCTTTTTAGAGGCTTTTTATGTAATTTCTTCTAATTTGTCTTATTAAATGTGTTACCAGGACCATAGTTTGCTTCATTTGGGTGTTACTATGAACATCAAATATCACAGTGATGTTCTTCCTATGATGTAAAGAGCTATTTATCCTATAAAATATAGTTCTATACTAGGTAACTTTTTTGTTACATAGAGTTTATGTTGCTATGGCATGTGAGCACCAGTCTCCAAAGTGCAATATGAGAGAAGCATAATGACTACTTAATAGGTTTTTTTTGTTTTTGACAGGGTCTTGCTATGTAGCAGAGGCTGGCCTTGAATTTTCCCCCTTTCTGAGCCTCTACCATACCCAGTGTAATTATTTTTATTTCCTCCTTTTTATTTTTAGTATATATATATATATATATATATATATATTTTTTTTTTTTTTTTTTTTTTTGTCTTTTCTTTTTTGGTGCTGGGATTGAACCCAGGGCCTCACGCATGCTAGGCAAGCATTGTACCACCAAGCTACATCCCAGCCCCTATTTTTAGTATATTTAATATTAATTTTATAGATACAGTAGACCCATGGTATCCATGAGTATTTAGTTCCAAGGAGATCACTATTAAGGAAATACCATGAATGTTCATGATGTACAGAGTTCAGTATTATACTGTAGACGCTTGATTCATTTTTCCTATAATGCTGTACAACTTCCACTAAAGACATGCCATCTTTCAACAAATCTAAAATTTTGGGGCTGGTGGAATGGCTCAGGTGGTAGAGTGCCTGCCTAGTAAGTGTGAGGCCCTGAGTTCAAACCCCACTGCTAGTAAAAAAATAAAGTTTTCACTTGATCACTTAAATTAAGCACATGAATTTTTACCCTGCTTTTTTGGGAGGTATATTTTTACAAAATTAAGTGGAGTGTAGGAAATTAAGGTCAGGGAAATACTCAGTAGATCACACAATTATTTAAACACAACTGACAACATGGGGCTAAGAGTTTCTCCATATCCACTGAGCTATGTAATGCACGCACAGGAATCAAAAACTTGTTTTTGAAATCTCTTTTGAGATTGGCAGCACTGGTGTTTGAACTCAGGGCTTCATGTTTGGGCACAGACACATGCTCAAGAGAGGCCTAGTCTGGCTTCAGATTCAGGCTGTACCAGGTGGGTGCACAGACCCTCAGTAGACCCTATGTGAGAGGAGCAGATGTATATGTGCAGACACAGCTCCTAACAGGACACTGCTGCCTGCTTAAAGACATGTACATAGCCATCAGCAACATGTACTGAGCCCGGCTCAGAGCTGGGCCCTCTATCTCATCTCCTGGAAGCCCTGGTCTGGGGAAACTTACAACTCAAGCTTCCTCCCATGCTCTCTTCTTCCCAGAGTTCACCTCCTACTCTGATGTTGCAAATCTCCCAGCATGTGTTGGGATTCAGGGTGGCCACTTCTTGCCCACTCAGACCACCAGCTCCTCCTCAGAGAAGGCAGCCTTGAAAAAATGGGCCCCGAAGGGCCACATTTTTTGGGAAGGGGCTTGTTAGGTAGGCACTCTTACCGCTTGACCCACTCCGCCAGACCCCTTTTGATATTTTTAATTTACTTTTTTTTACCTTGCTTGGTCAAAACTACATATAATAAATATATGAATAAGGCAGGCTTACTGAATAGTGTTAAGAACGGCAGTGAAGAAGACATCCAGCTTCAGGCTGGAGGATACTCCTTTAATTTTTTCTTGTATGCACGTTTTTTGTTTGTTTGCAGTATTGTAGATTGAACCCAGGGCCTCGTGCACTACCACTTTAGCTGCATCCTTAGCCCTTTTGTTTTTGAGATTGGGTCTTGCTAACTTTTGCCTGGGCTGGCTGTGAACTCACGCTCCTCCTGCTTCCACCTCTGAAGTAGCTGGTATTATGGTAACTGATAAGCACCACCATGCCCGGCTTCAGACCCTTATGTCAAATGTCTAGTTTTTTAAAGTTAACTTCATGTGTGGCTGGGCTGATTGGTTAGGATTTATGCTTTTTTCCCTTTAAGTGTTTCTGTGTTTTCTACATTTCCTACAGAGAGCACGTAGTAGTTTTGTAACTGGCGAAAAAGATTAAAATTGCTACTTAATAATAGTCGTTGGGCTGGAGGAATGGCTCAAGTGGTAGAGTGCCTGCCCAGCCCTTTTTTGTGTTGGGTAATTTTGAGATAGGGTCTTTTTAACTATTTGCCCAGGCTGGCTTCGAACTATGATCTTCCTGATCTCTGCCTCCTGGGTAGCTAAGATTACATTCATGAGCCATTGGCACCTGGCTGCTTCAGTTCTTTTGGAGATGGGGTCCTGCAAACTATTTGCCTGGACTGGCTTCAAACTGCAATCCTTCCCATGTATCAAGGATTAGAGGTGTGAGCCCCCAGTACCCGGCTCCTATTTGTTCTATTTCTCTGGAAAATCCTAATAAACCAGGCAACGAGTGATCTACTTTCTGTCTATATAGATTAGTTTGCATTTTCTAGAATTCTACATAATTGGAGTTGCTAATGCTGTGTTAATGTTAGAACCTCCTTCTTCAGTTGTTTGGCTGCTTCTGTTCTCATCACCAGCACACAAGTTGTGCTACCCCGAGGCAGAGCCTCTGTCTGCAAGTCTGTGATTCACCTTCCCCTCACTCCAACTCTACGCTTGACGCCACCTTCCCTATTACTAGCTGTGTCTGAATGTTTGCACCTCTCTTAAAATTCATATGTTGAATCTTAATAACCAATGCGATAATATTAGGTGGTAAGGCATTTGGGAGGTGATTAGCTCAATAAGGAGGAGTCCATATGAATATCAGTGCTTTTCCAAAAGAGGCCCCCGATTGCTGCCGTGTGTGGACACAGGTAGAAGGCTCTACCAATGAACCAGAAAGCTGTCACCAGGTACTGCATTGCCAGTGACTTGATTTTGACTTCCCCATTTCTCCAACAATGGAGAATAAATTTCTGTTGTTTATATCCCACCCTGTTTTTGGTATTGTATCGCAGCTGTAACAACATAAGACACTACTGTTCTTTTCCCTATTTACTATGGCCACGAAGGAATCAAAGATTTAGCTGATTTCCTTTTCTGCAACTCCCTGGCTGTGACTTTCCCAGTTTCTCTTCCTGTAATTGGCTAATGAATACTACAGTCTCAATTCCTGAGTGGAAATTCTTCAGTTACAGCCCAATCACACATATGAAGCAAGTGGAGATTCAGATCCTGCCCCATCTAAATTTACCAGCACTAAACAGGCAGATTCTGGTTATTCCCACTTCTCTCTCTCTCTGTAAGAGAAACACATGCCAGGGGGCTGGAAGGTTCTTTCTGTATAAAGTTGCAAATACAGGTTTCAGCATATTTATTTTGGAAATCCAAATGTTAACTCTATTTAAAATTTTATTGTTGTACAAAATAGAATCAAACACAAAATGGATTAATTCTAAAATATTATTTCTGATTATCAGCCTTTTTAAGGTCTCATTAAAAGAAGTTACCTTAGCCTACTTTAAACAAAATCAACTAATCCATATTTGAAATATGTGTCATTTCATCTTTAATATCCTTAATCTCAGCTTGAACTACTGTTAAATTAGATATTTTTTCATTTAAGAAAGCAATTTCTTTCTCTCTTTGTAGTAAGTCAGTACCCAGCCTTCCAATGCGTAGTGTTAAATCACTTATCAATGGTTCCAAACGGGAAAAGTCCTTCTTCAGATTATACACCTTTGGCTTTAGGTCATTTACAAAAGTCACTGTCTTCAGAACTTTGGCTCTGTCACTTTCTAACCTTAAAAATCTATCTGCATGCTTGTTGAAATTGGTTTCAAGCTCAGATAGTGTCTTCTTAACAGAGTTAATTCTTTGTGAATTTTCAGATGCTGTCTTTCGGAGTGCTGTCGTTCGGTCAATGCTACTTGAGAGAAGATCACCTATGTTTTTTACTGTATTTTTTTCTACTTCTTCTATTTTATTGTCTAGCTCTTGTACAGAATCCGTTAAGGATGTTACATCAGTTACTAAACCTGAAATACGTCGTACATCTGTTTTAACAGTTGTAATCTTGAGACCAACATCTCTTGCCATGGAAGTTGTACTTTGGTCTACTTTTGCAATTTCTTGAGAAAGAGTTGTCAAATTGTCATTCAATATATTTTGTTTTTCAGTTATCCTGTTGGACCAAGTTTTCACCTCATAAATTTCCGCCTGTACATGCTTTAGATGAGCAATTATTTCAAAAGATTTCAGTTGTTCCAGGAGAGCTTCACATTTCTGATACTGCAAGAAAATATACCACAACGATTAAGTTCATCAAAAGCTTAACATTAATTCAAGTTGCTCCAGTAACCCCCCAGAAAAAAAGCCCCTCCTTTCCTTTATGGCTGGTGGAGTGGCTCAAGTGGTAGAATACCTGCTTGGCAAGTCTGAGGCCCTGAGTTCAAACCCCAGTACTGTTAAAAAAACCCCTCAATTTAAATTTTATATGTTATTTTTAACTACAACTTTACTGCTTTTGGAAAACATATGGCAAAAGATGGCCTTTAAAAGTAACAACCAGGGCTGGAGGTGTGGCCGAAATTGGTGTAGACGTGACTGCCGAGCAAGCACAAAGCCTGAGTTCAAAATCTTTGTACTGCAAAAGAAAAACAAACAAAACAGAGCCTTGGGTGGGATAGATGTAGTTTCAGACCGTAGCATGTGCTGGGTTGATCCACACTGGCAAAATACAAACAAAAATTAGAGAAAAGAGCTTTTAGAATAATTTAAGCATATTACAAATGAATAAGGAAGGAAAAGACTCAGGAAATTTCATAAAATTTTCTGGAAATTACATTTTTGGTTATTATTTTTGTACCATTGGCCCTCTGTACAGAAGCAAAATGTACTAAGGGAAGAGGAAGTCTCCAGATAAGCTTTGTTGTAGTCATGTTGAGAGAAGACAACATGACTTCTCTCTCTCCCTCTTTTTTTTTTTTTCCCAACTTTTTTGTTTTGTTTGGAGACAGGTCTTGCATGTTCCCACAGTGTCTTGAATTGCTCTGCTGGCAATTTTCAAGTATATAATGCATTATTATTAGCTATAGTCACCATGTTATACAGCAGATCTCCAGATATTCATCCTACCTAACTGAAACTTGGTACTCTGTGACCAGCATTGTCCTAGTTCCCTGCCTCATGCCCGTTTAAGTCTGTACCGCTATTTGTACTCGTTCTGTTGAGTTTGGCCTCCTTAGAGTCCACATTTTTAGATCAACACCAGTATTGTCTTCTGCTGCCGGTAGCTTATTTTACTTAATAAATAATTTGCCTTTCCTGGTGAATTCTTGTTGTTCCAAATGACAGAAATTCCTTCCTTATAAGTCCAAACAGTATTCCCTTATTATACATAATATATATACATATATATGTGTGTATATATATATGTATGATATATTATATATATATATATTATATATATATATATATATATAATATATATATATATATTTCACATTCTCCTAATCTGTTCATTCCATTGAGGACACTTAATTTATTGAGAATGCTCTGGCAAAAAAAAAGGAAAGGAAATGAAAAAAAGAAGAATAATGCTGGAAAAGAACATGGGAATGCAGATATCTTTTTTACTATTGACTTCATTTTCTTTGATTACATAGCCAAAAGTAGAAAAGAAAAAGAAAAAAAAAATGGAATTGTTCCTTACACAAAGGTTCTATTTTTAATTTTTTGAGAAAGACCTCCCTACTGTTTCCCATAATGGCTGTACTAATTTACATTCTCACCAACATTGCTACAATGTTTGTTTTGTACAGGGGATGGTTTCTCACATCCTTGCTAAACTTTGTTATCTTTTATCTTTTGTAACAGACATTCTAATAAATTATGACGTGTTTTATCTCATTTGTAGTTTTTAAATTTTCATTTCCCTGGTGATTAGTTAGGTTGAATATTTTCATATACCGGGTTGGACCCAATTATATATCTTACTTTGAGAAAACCTACTTATGGTTCATTTGCCCATTCTTTGGTTATCATTGCCCAATTTTTTAAATTGGGTTTCATTTTCTTGCTATTGAGCTGCTTCAGTTTCTTATATATTTTGGGTATTAGCCCCTTAATCAGATGTATGATTTGCAAATATTTTCTCCCATTCCATAGATTGTTTTTAGTTTGATGCAATCTCTCTCTCTCTCTCTCTCTCTCTCTCTGTTAATAGCAGTTTTGGGGAAGTTAAATGCTTTATTGTTCTTTCAATATTTGAAATTTTATTGCATTATTGGTTAATGAAATGAAAAAAGGGAAAATTAAAGTGCTGATCACAGTGCTGTGCAGGTCTCATAAACAATATAAAGTTGAAGTTGAAACAGAAATGAGAACGGTCAGGTGAGACTGTTTAGCTCCAATCAGAAGATTAAGACTGTGGACCATGTACTTATCTTTGAAGAAAAGTAAAGAACCAATACAAAATGCTAGAAATACATTGTCAAAGCCTATGCTCAACGACAGATAAATACTTAGATTATTCTGAAAAGGGAACCCCATTTGTAAATGTCTAAGTCAATTATTTGACTTTTGCACACTTAACTTTCAGCTTGTTTTCTAGGAAAGCATTATGTTTTAAAGCAGAAGACTGTACCAGTAGTACAGTACTACAGTAGTAGTTCTTACTGGTAGTAAGAAGACTTACTACCAGTAGTAAGGCAGTTTGATTTAACAACTTTAATGTGCTATGGTATGTGCAAGTTTAACTAAGAACAGATTGCTTTTAGGGAGCTTGTAACTTAGTTTTGGAAGTAGAATGTCAAATGAATTATTTAAAATTTGGAAAAAAAAGGAATATAAAAGGAACTATGATCTGGGCGCTGGTGGCTCACACCTGTAATCCTAGCTACGCAGGAGGCAGAGATCAGGAGGATTGTGGTTTCAATCCAATCTCAGGCAAATAGTTCAGTGAGACCTTATCTTAAAAATACCCAACACAAAAAGGGACTGGTGGAGGGTCTCAGGAGTAGTGTCTGCCTAGCAAGTGTGAGGCCCTGAGTTCAAATCCCAGTACTGCCAAAACCAAAACAAAACAAAACAACTATGCAGGCTGGAATAATTTTCACAAAATAAGATAAGCAGTTTAATCTAAAGACATCAATTTTTTTCCAAAATAATTGTGTATTTCTTCAATATGTTTCTTATGGGTTATCTTTGGCTTACTCAGATAACCTTTTGAGATTATTTTAACATAAACTTAATTTTATTTTGTGAAAATAAAATTATAATACGCTCAATATTATCATTCCTACTTAAACTCAGGGCTTTGTGCTTGCAAAGCAGGCATTCTACTGCTTGAGTCACACCTCCAGTCCCAGAATACTATTTTGATGGCCAATCTAAAAAGCAGTGACATTGTCGCAAAAGAGTTATAATGGGCTGCTGAAATGTGGCAGGAGAACTATTAATTCAAGGTAGCAATTCCCCTTCCTTGCCCTATCATGTATGTTTGGTTTCAAAGTATATATGTTAGGGACTGGAGGGGTGGCTCAAGTGGTCGAGTGCTTGCTTTGCAAGTGCAAAACCCCGAGTTCAAACCCCAGCCCCACCCAAAATAAAATGCATTCAAAATAAATGTTAGGATTTTTCTCCTTAATAGCTTCATACTACATTAACTACTGGTATAGTTGGTGGCCTAAAATGTGTTTTTTGGTACAGCAGTTAGCTTGTGAAAATATTCTGAGTATGATATTAAGGAGTAGCCACAAACAGGAAGGAAATCAAGTAGAAATTGCAAAACCATGTTTTATTTTTAAGGAGAATCTTTTGCAAAATAGGAATAGATGGCTTATTTTTAACCATTTCATTCCAGATTGCCATTTATTAATGTATTTATTTTGGTAGAATAGATGTAGTTTAATCGCATCACACAATTAAGACACCTCAGAAAGGGCTTATCTTAATAAAAGGATCAGATCATTAAGAAGCTGCTTTGCTTTACTTGTAGCTTATAAAGGCAATTTATCATGAACTTCTAAAGTAGAAACTCAACACAATGTGGTAATAGTCTAGAAATTGTTAAGTTCCTTTTTCCCCCCTCTGGAGTTGGGGATTGAATCTAGGGCCTTGTACAAGTTAGACAGGTATTCTACTGCTGAGCTACATTCCCAGCCCTAAAATACAACTGAATTATTTAAAAAAATTAGTTAGGGCTTATTTTTCTAGGGTGGATGGATGAGTTAGAGAATCTACCAGTAGCTCAAGAGATGGCAACAGTAATTTGAATATTTACTAAATTCCAATTATCTATGCAAGGTACTAATTCAATGTTCTGTAATGGTTCAGGGAAATGATCTCTAGGTCCAATAAGCTTTCCAAAATCTTTGCTAAAGGATCTCTCAATACTACTAAAGGATCCTCCTGATCCTCCTGAGTAGCTAGGTTTACAGGCATGAGGGGGTGGAGATTGAATCTGGGGGCCTCAGAAATGCTAGGCGAGCACTCTTATCCATTGAGCTATGCCCTCAGCTCCCTATCCTCCATTCCCCCACTTTTTTTTTTTTTTTTTTGCGGTGCTGGGGATTGAGCTCAGGGCCTTGCATAATATGTGGGGCAAGTGCTTTTACCACTGAGCTACATCCCTTGACCCCCCTCTGGTTTTTGAGACAGGATCTTGCTATGTAGCCCAGGCTGGCCTGGAGCTCCTGGTGTAGTCCAGGCTGCCTTCAAACTCGCAGTCCTCCTGCAGAAGATGCCCCAGTGCCAGGATCACAGGCCTGGGCCACCATGTCAGGCTCTTGGCTCTACTTGTTGATTCCTTCTTAGGCCCAAAGCCCAAACAATTTTAGAGCAGTTAACAGGTTTTGAGGAATTTCAGTCTTGCTTAATGGTGACATGATAAGAGAATACATTTAACTGAATTATTGCTTTCTCAACTGTCAGGAAAGATCTACAGACAGATTTCTAGTGTTATTTTTTTTTTCCTCCCCTGGTTGAGCAGTGGCAGAATGAATTAAATGGTGGGAGGTCCTCAGTCTCCAGAGTTGGACAGACCTACCAGTGTTTGCAGGGTTTCTAATTTTGTTAAGCCTCAATTTCTTTATTTGTAAAATGGCCTAACAGTTAAAAAGCTGGAGTGAGGAACAGTGATAACACATGTAAAGTGCCTGGCGTGTGGCTGACATATGGTAGATACTCAATATATGGAGCTATTAAGATGACAACCATTAATGTGCATCTCATAGAAATGTTTGGCACACAGTAGGTGACAAATGTTAGTTCTTTTCTGCTGAAAGCTGGGATGGAGCATCATGATTTGTATT